TTTCTAGAGCAGAAGCTATTTCCTTGGGATTGCAGAAAGGATGCTACTAGCTGTGACTGCAGAGTAACATTATTAAAATGCAAGAATTAGATTAGGCCTTACAAAATCAGACAGCAACTGCCTTTAATTCCGTTGCTTATTTCACAAATGCTCATATTATGAATCAGCTTGCTTGCAACAGCTGAACAAGGCAGCAATAGTAAACAATTAAATTAACCTTTTTCAGAAAAACGCAGAGCTAGGCTACAAGATGTGGAGACTTTTAACAGTCTTTATGGAACTGGAGAAATTAATCTCAATATAAGATCAAACATAGTAAATCCTAACTTAAGTATAAAAATTTAATCTTGTTTCCTATCAGAACTTTATGCATCTACTCTGTTTATACCTCAGCCTCTTTTCTTTGAACCCACTACCTAATTTTCATCACACTTGATTGAAGAGCAGAAGTCCTAAGATTCCTGAAAACAGGCAGATGGATAGGGGAGAAAAAACCTCTACTTCAGAAAAAATCCTACAGAATGAGCTTACAGAGACACCAGAGGGTTCTCAGATGGCCATTACAAATAGCTTGATTATAGTAGAAGCTTCAGTTAGAACTCACATCTCTTTTTTGTTGTTAGACTGAATCAGCTGTCAATTAACATTTATAGGAAAGTAGTTTTAGGACTATTTATAGCAAATTTGGTCCTGATGCTTACAGAACTGCTTATTAATTAGATGGAACCATGATCACTGCCTGAGAGGAAGCTGCAGGATTGTACCATCCTAATCAGGGACATCATATTTAAAAAGAGGCCATATTAATAACATTTTTCTGGTCCATCCACATTTTGGGTCTTCATCACTTTCAAAATTGTGGATGTTATTTTTTGCTTCAAGATACCTAAATTGAGACTGTGGAAGTTGCTCCACTTAATTTGAGGCCCCCATCATGCATTTGTTTGCTGTTAGGTAAGCATTCAGCGTTCATTCAACAGTGTCTTGACAGTGTCTGCTCAGTTCATAGTTTCTGATGTGATATCCACCTTATGTTTTTTAGTGTCAGGGTACTTGGCTCGAGTTTTACAATTGTTGCTTTTGTTTTTTATTACAGAAGGAATGCTGTAATGTTCATGAGCTTAATCAGTAGAAGAGCTTGTGTGTTTTGAAAAGTTACAAATTTATCTGTGCTGTATCTGCGCTATGAAGGTATCTGTGGTAACTTGACAAATAGTAGAAGCTCTTCAGAATCACTGAAATGCTGACGTTCCTTTTCTACTTGCAGTCAAGCTTTCCTTAGAGGAAAAATCAGTCCAAGTATTCATCCAGTAGTGCCACAGAGAACAAAGTAGTAAATGATTGCTACTTCTCAGCTTCCAGAAACTGTGATTAATGTACTCTGAAAAAGTGACAGGCAAGAAACCCAAGCTTCTAGGGATTCTCTTTTATCATTATTTACATTTGATTATCAGTGAAAGAGAGGAAGAAGTACTAATATTTCTTTTCATTTCTAGACAAAAAGATTTGTGGAAGAAAGTTTTATTTTCCCTCATCTAAAAATGAGGATTCACACTGTTAGCAGAATGATACAGAAAGATCCAGATGTGGGTTTTAAGTTTAAAAATGTTCTGATAGCCTTTATGTATCCAAAGCAGGTTATTCTGAATTCATACTGATGGCAGTGAAAAGAGCACATCTGATCCTTTTCTTAAAACTAATTTGTTTTTTTTTAATCTACTTTTGAGTTAAATTAAAAAAAAAAAGTTTTTTTCCCCTCCCATCTGAAGAAAGACTTCTTTGAAGTGGGGTATCCTCCTATAGCTATTTCTGACCCATCTGTTTGATTGCACTATGTTATCCTTACAGTTACAGATTTGATTTGAGAGCCAAATGCATTATTATGAATGTTTGGGTTGGTTCAGGACATAAGGAAGTGTGTGATTTTGTCAGTAAAGTTCCTGTCAAAGGAAGAATTGGAGCTATGGGATTAACTAAATCTGTAATAGGATGATGGTTCTACTGCTTGTACTGTTTGTTGTAGTGTAATGTGTTGATGATAGAAGAAAGCGTTCAAAAAAAAAGAGTACACCTTATGCCTACTTAAAGAGTGAATTTGGGAATCATTAAAGGCTGCTTCTCCATATTACTCAACCCCATAATAAGGTGTAGAAACAGTGGGGTAATTTCTTGGCAAGTATGTCGAAGTTTAGAGTTGAGCTACATGCTGAACTTACATAGCTATGAGCAGCCTTTTACATATTTGTGAAGAGGGAGCATTATGGATAGCTTTTGTTCTGCTTAAACTGTGCTCAGATCGGACTGTAAATAAATCACTTTCATCAATGCTTATGGAACAACCCTAGAGCATGAATCTGTGAAAGTAAGCAGAGGTACATTCTGAAAACAACAGATCCTACAGAGGGTGGAAGATAATGTAGTTAAACAGAAAAGAGTAGAGTCTCTCAATTTTGTCTCAGTGCTTATGTTTGTTATGAAATTCAGTGCAGTCTACTTTGGGTGGGAAAACTTCCTTTTATTTTTCAGTAGCAAACATTTCAACTGCTACTGGAAAGTCTCCGGTTAATCTTCAGTTTTGTTGAAAGACACTTGAATCAGGAATGGTAAGATAAATTACAAATGGATAGCTGGTTTATCCTGTTTCTTGGTTATGAGACCAGTAAGATTGTGAAATAAAGGCTGCAAAACACATGGAAAAGAAGCGGTAACTCGCCTGAAGATTCCAGGATGTGTATCTGTCTGTTGTAAATCACCAGCTGAAATCCAGTTGTCTGTTATCCCAAAGGGGAGTTACCTAGTGGCTGTGAAGCAGTATATACAACTTGGGCTTGATCTCAGTCAAGCGCCTACATAACAAGAGTCATACAGTGGAGCAATCCACATCCACGGTCAGCACTAGCTGCCAATTCTGTTGTCAGATTTTAAAGAAAGACTGAAGATGAGAGAAGATTTTTTTTCTTTTTTTCTGCTCCTATGGTTTATTTTCCTATTTTTCTACACCCTTTCTAAAACTATAGTCATTGAATTGGAAAAATGAACTATAGGAGGGGGGTGGAGGGGAGAGGGAGAAAAAAACAGTATACGACTTTACAGCTGCTTTACAGTTGTCACATACTTGAGAGCTGAAGAAGAATATTTACAGGTGGGGAAACAGAAAAAGTCAGAGAAGTGATTTGCCGAAGGTGACCAGGAAGCTGTAAAGCTGTAGTAAAATCAGATATCCAACCTTGTCAGGAGTTACAGTTCAGATTCCCTAATGCAGGACTGACTGACTTTAGTCTCCTGTTCTAGGTCTCAGACATGGGTCAGTAACAGAGTGATGGGAAGGCCGTTTCCTTTTCTGTGCATCATTTTATGATCAGTTGAAGAGGTATAAAATGTATTTCATCTTTCGGGTCATCGTGTACTGGCCCCTGGAGTGCTTGCCAAATCAGTTATACACACTTGTTGATGCAGATTTGGACCATTTAAGACCATTTCACCTGTTTGTGCTTCAGTTTGCTCAGTGGAAGAAATGTGACTGAGAGTCTTTAATTTTTGTAATGAATTAAATCAGTCCATATTTTCTCTCCACATTCTTTTAAAATGTGTTTATCTGTAAATTGTTCAAATGCAGTCTTTGTACTGCTTCCCCCCACCCTGTTTAGCAGCAGTTGAATACTGGTTTCAGTTATGAGTCAGTAGCTATACTGTGAGCTTGTAATATGTGGGAAAGTAAAAATATATGTTAAGGTTGAGAGTAATCTGAAGGATATCTCCTAGAAAAAGAAGCTTCATAAAATTTAATTTGTAAATGCTTTTGGGTTTTGTTTATCTGAAATCTTTTGTATTGAAGTGTTTCTATCTTGCTGACATTTTATAAAGTCAGGAAATTGTGTAGGAAATACTTTTGCAACATTGTATCAACAATGTAGCAAACATCCATGCCAGAACTGAAAGGAAGGGAACGCTAAACAAAACAAATTTCACTCCCTGTCACAGTCCTGTTCAGCGGCACCAGAATGTGTTGTGTCCAAGGAGTCCATCCAGCAGTCAGGCACCATCATGGTTGTGTCCTAGTGTTAGGCCTAGGATCTGTTTTTATAACAAGGGGGACGAGAGATACCAGCTCTCAAGTCCCCCTCCTGTCTCTTGGGTTGTTTTTAGATTGGCCACCCTGTGCAGGTTTCAGATAAGCCTTTCTGTATCATTTTGGAGTTGGTGGTCATCAGTGTCTTCATCCTGACTGGCCTCTGTGAGTTACCAAGAATCATCTCTGTTCTTTGTCTCCAGTTCTGGGTGTCAGTGCAATCGCACCTACTGCAGATACATATGCTGGGGTCTTTATGATCTGCTAATCTGCTTGTCATTAACACAGGCTATTCCGAGAGCCCTTTTCCTGCAGTATGCTCCTTTTGATGCCTCCGCACCCAGACGTTTCCCTTCATTCCTCTTTCACACTGTCTTAGTTTTTTCTGTTACAATTCCCTACAGTTGGATTGATATTGTTTGTCTCTCTGAAAAAATACCAGTACCATTTTTAATAATAGTATAGATATGAAATAAGTATTAAATTTTAAGATTATATCTAAAACAAGGTATAGTTAAGCTTGTCACAGCTGTCCTACAAGATGTAAGGACCTTGCACAAGGTGAGTCTCCAGTCTTGCAAATTGCCCTTAAATAAATTAGCTTGATAATTTACTGTAATTTACTGTAGCATGACATGGGAAAAGATCTTACCTTTGGAGATTGGCATGATTGCTAGTGTTGTGTTTTATGTAAGTCTGATCCATCAAGTTAATTAGAGGATTTAATTTAATTAAGTAAGGCATATGTACTATGCTTTGCATTCTAGAATTGATTTCAAAACAAAATTGCAAGCATGTGTTCTTGTCTAGAAGATGGTATACCAGGAGATAATGCAGCTGCATAATATTAGTGTTTAACAGAATAAAATCCTAATACAGCAACAAGTACAACAACTGTGTGAATGACATTTTTTTTTCTGTCCCATCACAGTTTCAAAGAGCATTTGAATCTCTGAGAAATGTATCCAGTAAATCTGATCTACAGAAAACCTACCAGAAGTTTCAAAAAGATCTGGAAAATCTTGATTATTTGGCATACAAACGACAACAGGTAAGAAATGAGAACTTGGTAGAAAGACACAGAATACTGGATATAAACACAGTGTGTGGGATAAGTGATACGCTTTCCAGAGTTATTGTTCTATCAGTACAGCTACATGCTTCATGTAATATGGTGATGTAAACCAGTAGGAAGGGTGGAAATTATTTTTAATGCAAACAGTGTTGGACTGTGTGGTTTTTTTTTGTATTTTGTTTTTGTTTTTTGTTTTTGTAACCTCTGAACAGATTGATCCCTCTTAGAGAAAGACACATGAAACAAGTAAGTGAGACTTAGCAGACTATTAAATATCGCATCAACAGATAACAAAATATTGGATTTTTTAGATTAAGGAGCATAAAAATATTTGGATTTTTTGACTTGAGAAGTGAACTACATCCATAGAAGTTAATGGAATCAAATATTGACTGTACATACAAACCACCAAATTTTTGTTCTTTAGAAATGAATTTAAAAGTCTAGGTTGCATAAAACTTTTTAAGTATATGCAGTCTTTGATGCATGCTCACAAAATCAAGGTTAAATCTAATTCTTAGAATGTATATAATCTCAGCCCTACTTGCTATCACTTATGCATGGCTTCTGTAAAACTGTGAGTTCTCATGATAGGTCTTCACTTATTTTTGTGTTCCTGGAGAAACAAGGCTTTGCCTTCGTAGAAATCTAACCCCATTTCACCTGTATACTCTGTATATGTGTGTGGGGGGGAGCGTTTTGTTTTATATATTTCTGAATTCTGTCGCTGGGTGTCAGTATTGTCAAACACTTCTCTTGCTTGGGGCCGCTCACTTCCAGGGGATGCTTACATCAGATAATTGATTAGATTGTTAGAAAATTAGTAAAGGGCAGAGGGTCAGATGGTATCTGAACACAGGAACATCTTGTTCTTGAGTTAGAGAGGTCAGGGAGCAATTTGCTTTGGTGAGTTTCACTGTGGTGGGCGCACTTTATCCTGGTTGTAATACGACATGGTTCTTTTGTGTCCTCTGACGTGGGGCTGCCAGCAACCAAAATACAGTATTTCTACTGGCGACTGATACTAGTTTTAGCTTCTAATGTGTTCTTGTTATCAGAGTGCATAATTGTGTCAAGCAAAATAAAAGTCACATCTGTAAGGGTTTGGAGAGCATTTCTGAGCCAGGAAAGTGTAAATTCTATTAATTCCTTCTCAGGCGCTCACCATATTTTTTTGAATACCCTTCCTGAGTGTGAATTCTCACTCTGAGCTTTGCAAAATTCCTTATTATTTCAAGCGATGCATGTCTAGTTCTGTAGCAGATTATGTGTCAATAACATATTACATTTCACATTAGGCAGGGCATCTCTTCTGTTTTCAGGTCTTTGCTGCCCTCCCCACCTCGATACTTTGCACTTTCAACATTTTGAGAATCCTAACATCCTTGTTTGGTATCAGGTGTGCAGATATCTCCCCATTACTGTTTCTGCTCTCTTTTTGCTGTGTAGAACTATATTGGCAGACGGTTTTGCATTTGGAGGTGTGTTAGCTATAAAATCATTTCCTGCTTTCAATCATAGAACAGAAGAGAGACTTTTTACTTGGATGTGCATGTTTCTAACATCTTATGAAATGCTATAGAAATTTTAAGAAAATAAACTAGGCAAAGGCTGAACTTATAAAAAATGAGAGAGACTGAAGATGTTCTCTGTATTTTAGTTAATTTGCATTGTATACCTGATCAGTTGTTTTATGCTTTTGGGAACTGTTTTTCTGAGGAGCACTTTTTACCTGGTTTTGAGATGAACATCTTATTGAGTATCAATAGGACTAGCTGCAGAATCTGTAGAGTGAGAATTTTGAAAAGCTGCCATATCTATCAGCTTTAGAAAGCACTCTGAATTTCCTCCTACTTGGGAAAGAAAATTATCTTTTTGTGGAAAGATTAAGATTTGGTTTAATTTCTTTGGAACATGCACAGACCTAGATTGGAAATGAAGCTGTTTAGAGTTCAAGGGACATTTTTTTTCTGAGTTTGCGGCGTGGCCGACTTAATTGATAATATTTTATATAATCTATTAGATTAAGGAAAGATTCATAGCTCTACTGGCAAAATGTTGGCTCATACCATCTGTTTGGAGACAAAACTAGCAATTGTATACAATGTGAGCATGAATCAATTCATGGTAAAGTCAGAGTTCTACATAGTCAAGTAATGACTAGTACTTTTCAATGAAATACAGTTGTCTGCTTCTGCCCTTATTTCTTAGACATGAGACATAAAGTGCAATATAGCAATATAATTTCTCAGTGTTTTCAGTTTTCAGGACAGATGGAAAGTTACAACTTTGTCTTTAAAGCATATTTTAAATGACCTATGTTGATTCTAATTTCTAAGTATGGATAAAACCTCCTTTGTGTGTGGTGGAGGTATGCAAGAGACAAATATATTGGGGGTGTTAATTTATTTTAAGTCTTTTTTTAAGTAGCCATTTTCAGAATGAGGTAGAAGCTCTTGTGTTTTCAGATGGCGAGCAGATTGCTGACAGAAATGCCTCTTTAAAATGGGCAATGAGCCTAAGAATTCAGTTCTGGCTTTCTTTTATACAAAAAACCTGAAGTTGTTAGCATATGTTGCTCAAACTTCTCAGAGCTTTCAGAGCCTGATTTTGCAAGCAGGCTGAGTGGATGTGGTATGAGCTGACGTAGAACTGATCAGGATGCCTAACTTCTTTGCTTACTTTGGTCATTATGGAGGAAGAAGACAGGAATTTCTTGGAGCAGGAGACTTCTATGCCTCCAGCCTGAAATATATGGATAACATCCAATGGTGTGATTGAGAAGGCTGAATAATGCTCTTCATGATGATTCTGTGTCCCAAACACAGTGTGAAGCATTGAATTACATCTCTATACCAGGTCTAGCTGCTGTTGCTGTAACCATGGTCTGTGATGAACTCCCAGACTATTCAAATCTGCTCCCTAATGCATTGTTGCATGTCAGAACTTCCTTCTTAATATTGGTTAACAGAAGACACTTCTTCCTCCCTACAGGTTTGCCATTGTTTTCTGAGAGATGCCTTATTATTCCGTTACCTGGAAGTATGGCTAACTCATGCCAGATGAAGATAAAATGCAAATAAAACATTTACACTCGACACCTGAACATAGGCAGACCCCTTACAAATGTTCATGAATGATGAAGGTGGAGAAATGCACAGGATCAGCTCACATTCAGGTTGTGGTTGCGTGGCTGCTCCAGCTGAAGTGCTGGCTGCGGCAGACCAGCCCTCAGCCCTGGCCTGAGCTTCATGTTACCATGCATTTCATTTTGCCCATCCTAGCATTTAAGTTACCCTGCATAGAACTGTTTCAGTGTGCTAAACTGGCTGAAAATTACTCACCTTTTGATAGTCTCATTATTTTGTTGCTCATATAGTGGAAGGCTAAGGCATCTCTCTTTCTTCCCCGCTGTCCCTTCATCCATCTAACTTGCTGATGACTTTTCTGACAGACACATACCAGGGATTTCATCTTTTTGCATACCTCCTGGGGTACATTGCATCCATTAGAGAGAAATCCATTTTGATTGAGCGTATCTGTTCATTGCCAGTCTCCCATTTTGGAGCCTTCCAGGAGATTCCTGTCTCCAAGAAATGTACTTTCTTTCTTGTCCAGGAGATAGTCTGACAAATCCTTTTAATTAAAACAAGTTTTTCTTTTCTTTGCTACTATCATCCCTGATATTTGACTGACCAAGAGTAGCTCCTTGCCACAATGAGTGGTAAAACTCCTCTTGCTCTCTGACTTACTAAATGTTTCAGAGTGAAGTAGGCTTTCCACTGAGCATTATTTGCGTCAGCCTAAGCATTAATGCAAATCGGTAATATAAATGTTTACATGGGATAAGCATAGGTAGTTCTTATTGGCTCTGAAATGAGAACAGACAAAACAGTTAAGCACTTTGGGATGAGAGGGGACTTAGTGATATAGATTCCAGCTCTTTGTTTCTTGGGATACTTCAGTAAGTGCACGTTACCTTTTTTGTCATATGGGATCCTGTTCCTGTTGAAGGGAAACTGTCTAGATACTGTTCAGCTGGAAGAGTACTGATTTAAGCCTGTTCATTATAACAACCTTACCATAAGGTCATTTCAGGAGCAGGTGGCAGTACTTAAAATAAAAATGGAATTATAATCTAATTCAGTCTATTTAGCACCTATTAAACTCAAAAATGTTCACTGCTGCTGATGTTCTTAGTGTTAACAATGCCTTTAGGATGCCTGTAGCAGTGCTGGCTGCAATTCAAAGACTTTCAGTTTCTGCTGAGATGTTTCCAGCAATACAGCAATCTAAGAGTTCACAGCAGAAATTTAGTACATGCACACACACAAAAACAGTATCCTATTGTAAAGTGGTATTAATTTAAGGATTAGTTACTTGATTTTCATGGTATGTCCTCAGGCCAATTATGTGCTAAAGGACTTAATTTATGTGAAGCTGTGTGTGTTTTCTTTTTCTTTTTTTTTCTTTTTTCTTTTTTTTTTTTTAAAGTCTTTTGAGGATTACTTCCTGATCATTGTTGTATGCAGAAATGTTTTAAAAGGTCACATAAAAAACTGAAGTTGTTAAGGGCTGCATCAGATACACTTACGGGGTGATTTATTTGATATGGGAAATAATGTTTCCAGAAGATAGAGCAGAGCTCTTAATCTGTCTTACTTGAGAGCAGTGCATGATTATCAGTACTGCAGCTGTCTTCATACAGGTCGATTTTACATTTTAAAATCCTTAATTTTGGAATGAGGATTTGCTTCTACAGTCAAACAGTACTTCTCTTTGTTTAAATGGATTAAATGTACTTTTATTCTAACATTAATTGTTCACTTTACTTTTTAAGATACCATTGTGTTAAGCATGATATCTGTTCACCAAAATGCTGTACTGCAGAAACTGGAGCCAAATTTTCAGAAGAGATTATTACCTCTAAACTGTTAGAGAGCTTTCTTGTGTAAAAAAATCTTTAAGAAGGATGC